TGACATTGTTTATATTAGTTTAGAGTTAGGGTGAGAACTATGTTAGGGTTAGTGTTTAGGTAGTTATATAGTAAAATCGCTTAAAGAAAACTTTTTATTAATGCATAGAAGGTGGTTTAGTATGCAATTTCTTGTGAAATTAGCGATTTTTGTCAAAACGAACGTTTGTTTTGAATTTTTCTGATCGCGTAACGTTACACCTGATCTTGAGATCTATATAGGTCATATGATGCGGGTATATGTACCTTAGAGTACATATAAATAAACCCTTCGTTTTTTTTAAAAAAAAAACTTTTGAACATTATTTTTTTTCAAACTTTATGTGTAAGTATATAAATACATACTTAGAAAGTTTAATTTTTTTTTATTTTTATTACTTCATGTTGAGGTCAATTCGACTTAGCATGTTTCTGTTTATTACACGCACTTCAACCCTTGAGGTCACCCGACTTCGCCGACTTAGCGTGTTTTTTTGTTTATTACATGCACTTCAACCTCTTGAGGTCACCCGACTTCGCTGGCTTAGCATGTTTTTTGTTTATTACACGCACTTCACCCCTTGAGGTCGCCCGACTTCGCCGACTTAGCGTGTATTTTCTTTATTATACACACACTTCACCCCTTGAGGTCGCCCGACTTCGCCGACTTAGCGTGTATTTTCTTTATTATACACGCACTTCACCCACTTGAGGTCACCCGACTTCGCCGACTTAGCGTGTATTTTCTTTATTATACACGCACTTCACCCACTTGAGGTCACCCGACTTCGTCGACTTAGCGTGTATTTTCTTTATTATACACACTTCACCTTGAGGTCAATTTAACTTCGCTGAAGTAGTGTGTTATTATTATATATACATTTTAAACATTTATATTTGATATTTATTCTTATTTTTTTTATTTTATTTTATTTTATTTTATTTTATTTTTTTTATTTTTTTTATTTTTTATTTTTACTTTTTACAACTTTCTAATATTTTATTTTATTTATTTAGTTTTAGATACGTCGAATGTTATATGTTGCCCGCCAAAACGTTCTGTATTTTTCGGAGGAACAGACAAAAATCTTTGCGGCATAAGATTATCCAAATTTATACCATTTATAAACTCAATCACAATCATTAAAGAACAAAAATTGCAATATCATTTATTAAAAAAGCAATCTAATGGGTAATAATACATAATTAGATTAACAAGAATTTGTAAAAAATTTTAAATTATTTATTTTTGATTATTTATTTTTAGGTTCGGGCATATTCATTTTTATAATGAAAATGATGCTGCAATATTTTATAACTATGTAAAAAATCGACCGTTTCCTAATGGACCCGAAAATATTAAAATTCAATTTTTGCCATCAAAAAATGAAAATGATGAACATGTCACATATAAGATATCAAATCGTGAAGATGAATTTGATATTTATAAACCATTAGTAATATTTTAAATACAAAATTAATATGCAGTAAATTTTAAATTTATAAATGTAATTATATATTAAATTTTTGATTTAGGAAAATTCCAATCAATTTTTATCAAACTTTTTACAAGATTACAATGATGAAAATGATATTTTTGAACTGCCGGTAATATTTTAAATTGAGTAGATTTTAAAATACGAATATTTTTCAAATTATTGTATAATTGACATAATAAATTTTTTTTTATTTAGAACAATTTGAGTAAGAGGAATAAGAGAAGCAAAAATAAAACTTTAAACGAAGCTGACGTTTATGAATTGCCGGTAATTTTCAAATTAATTTAGTAGACATTAAGCTATAAAATATTTTTATATTAATTTTTAATAAACATTTTTTATTTTAGAATAATTCGAAGAAAAGTAAGAGAAACGAGGATAAAATTTTAAATAAAACTGATAGTGATGGTTATGAACTTTTGGTAATGTTTTAAATTAATTTAGTAGATTTGAAACTAAGAACATTTTTATAATTCTATTAAACATTTTATTTTAGAAAAATCCGAATAAAGAGACTCATGAAATTTTAAATCCTCAATATGCATTATATGAGAATCGGTGAGCTGATTAATAGCAATTATATATTTAATATTGCTTAAAAATAGTATACTGTATAATTAATTTAATATTATTGTACATACTGTATGTACGTAATATATTTAAAGTGAACAATACGTTATAGTCATCTATATACCTGGTATAGAAAACGAAAATCCACTTAAAATAAGATTTTCACGAGCAAAAAAAAATTTGGAAATTTCTGGTGAATTTCAACCCTTGCGTTCCGAACAAGTTCTCAAAAGTACAATTTTCACAGGACCTTTTGTTTTAAATCTTTGTCTTGAAAAAGAGTAAATTTAATACGTTATTTTATTTATTTTATCTTTATTATTAAAAAATTATTTATATTTATATTTATTATTTATTTAGGATTGACGCTGATAAAACCTCAATTGTGATAAAAAATGGAGTTGCCACTTTAATCATCTCAAAAAAGCAACCCGATCAACCGGTTGTTATTTTAATTGATTGAATAACCAAGAATTTTTATCATATGTTTCATTTAAATTCGTGGTATTTGACATTTGATGAGTGAAGAGTTTGTTATACCCTCAAATTTTATATTCACAACCAAGAATATAACTTTAAATATTATGTTCTTTAATGGTTTTGAGACATTACAATTGCTGAAGTAAAGCGGTGTTTTTTTTTTTTCAGTTTAAATAAAATAACAAGATTTGCTAGACAGATTATAGCATTTACTATTAATTCATGGTAACACAGTCCTGTAGTTATTAAGATTTTTTTAAAATAAGCTTTCGAGATTTTCATAGCGGAAATATTTTATCGGTATAAAAAAGAAGTGAGCGGTGTCTTGCTTTATATGGTTTTACGAGGAACATTAAATATCTAAGCAGTTGATATTTACACTTTGGGTATCATGATGACGGAAATATATCAATAGGAAGAAAGACTTTCGATGGTTATAATTAAAGGTGCAAACATTTAAAATCTTAAGGGTCGGTGATAACGTTCAAAGAACCATTTTGGCCCTTAATTGTAAATTTTTCAAAATTTGGGCAATTATTTTCAACTTGGGCCCTTATTTGTAATTAGTTTCATTTTTCGGGGTCGTACGTGTAATTTCCCCAAATTTAATAAAATTCAAAATGATTGTAAAAAATTTGTGTAATGCTTTTAAATTTAATTAATTTGCAATGCGCTGTATGATATTCTAAAGCGACTTAAATTCCAAAATAACGTACTCGATGAAATACATTTAATTTTGTTGTAAGTTGAATTGGAATTCTTTAACGACTCGGGTGCATTTTATAATTCTATTACAACCTATGTCTATTCAGAATTAACCTAGGTGAATTCTAAATCTACAACAATTTCATCTCGACGTACGACATATTCAATTGGTAATTGTAGTCCGATCGTCAGATTATAATAAATTTAATGATTTGGAAACGCCAAAGTTATTAAAACTGGCCATTCGAGTATAATCTTAAAAACTAAAGTGCAACAAACTTAGAAACTCGTTGGTCTATATAAAATAAATTTATATTTCTGAATTTCAAAGAGTCACGAATTCGGATTATCAAGTTCCTTAGTTATAGTTGCTCTGTAAATTTCTATGGTTAAATTTTTTTTAATGACAATTTTTGAACAAGATATTCTACAATTGTAACAACTTCCGCCATTGCACCCACGCCTGTTTTATTTACAATTAGTTTAATTTGAAATTTATATTAAATAAAAGACCGGAAATTAATAATTACCCATATCGCCGCAAGCCAATTTTTTAGTCACAGGAGAAATAATCTGGAATCCTAATTGTTCGGTCAAGACACGTAAATGTGTAGACGTGAATGGATGATCCCACATAAATGTATTCATTGCTGGACATACGATTACTGGACGTGTCATATCCCAAGCTCTCAGTATACAAGTCTTTATATAATGAATTTTGTAAGATTAGAATAATAGTTGACATATAGAAAATAATAATAATGATAAAATGTGACTAACAATTAGATTATCACATAATCCACTAGCTATTTTTCCCAATGTATTTGCATCAAGTGGAGCAATCACGAAAATATCTGCCCAATTTCGATACTAACAATTCAGCAAAAAAGAATAATGGTACTTTTCAGTAGTGAAAAATGACAAAATAATAATGATCTCCTTAATATTCACCTCTATATGTAAAACTGGATCTGATATTTTACTCCAGGCCTATTAATAAACTTAAAAAAGTTTAAAAAAAATTTACATGGAATAAAAGATATAGAATTCAATTATTGACCTTCCATTCATCAGCATCAGTTATGACTTCAACTCCTAAATCTTTTGTTATAGATTCCCTATTAAAAAAGTGTAAGGCATTATCCGTTGATACAACTTTTATTTCAACTTTTTCGTACTATACAATGTGAAAATGCATGTAAAAAAAAAAAAAAGGAAAAAAAAAATTGTAAATTTCTAAAGAATAAAAATATATATCTTGAAAAGAAAAAAAAATAAAACCTGAAGAAGTGATTGCACTAAAAGTGGTATCTTAATACTTGCAACACTACCTGTTGCACCTATAAGAATATTAATTTTCTGTCGAGACATAGTTTTTAAAACGAATCAAATTATCATGTGAATTTAATTATATAGTTAAGGATAGATTATCATATGATCTACATGGTAGAAAAAGAAAGCTACCACGTAATAAAACATTCATAAACAATTATAACCAATTCTTACGTATCAAAATTTTATCCGTAATATGTAGTTTAAAACAGTTTGTTTATATAATGGTAAAGTTACTGGGATATTGCTTCAACTTTACATACAAAAGATATAATCAAAATTTTGATTTCTAGTAAAAAATGATCTACGTTCATCCTACCTTTAGGATTCTGATAGTGATTGTAACAGTGATAACATTATTTAGCATTTTTGATTGGTTATCTGATAGACCTGAAAACGATAAAATAACGGTAAAATCTGAAAATTTTACTTCTTACTCGATAACCGCAAAGATGTCGTCGGAACCTAAAGAACGCACCTATATCATGGTTAAGGTATATTTCTTCATTAAAGTTTTAAAAAATATAAAACAATATACTTGTATTTATCCAAAACTTTTAATAGCCCGATGGCGTTGAACGTGGTTTAGTTGGAGAGATTATCAAACGTTTTGAAAACAAGGGGTATAAACTTGTGGCTCTCCAACTTCTTCCGGTTGGTATTAAGTTCAAAAGAAATTTATTGGTCTCATGAACTATTTAATCTTAATTTTTACGTTGGTTTTAAATGTAGACATCTAGGGAACTTTTGAATGAGCATTACTGTGACCTCAAAGATAAACCATTCTTTCCCAAACTCATAAATTGTATTTTTTATTTTTTATTTTTTTTTTGTTATCTGATCTGGTTAACATAATGATGATCGTTAATTTTCTATTGTCCTATAATATTTTGCATGAATAGATATGTTATCTGGTCCTGTTGTCGGTATGGTATGGCAAGGAAAAGATGTTGTTAAAACTGGTCGTCGTCTCTTGGGCGAAACAGATCCTTTGAAATCTGCACCTGGTACTATCCGCGGTGATTTTTGCATTGATGGTAAGCTTTTTTTCTTTGTATTCTTTACATGCTTGGTATGTCATCTAAAAAGTGCAGATTTATTAATGCTATTTATTTAATCTAGTTGGTAAAAATCTCTGTCATGGGTGTGTATGTTTATTGCTTTTCTTTTTTATCAATTGTTTATTCTTCTAAACGTGTTTTATTTTATAGTTCCGATTCTGTTGAAAGCGCCGAAAGGGAGATAAGTCTTTGGTTCCCTAATGGTGTTGTTTCGTGGGAACGTAAAAACGTTCATAATCTAATCTACGAATAAGCATGCTAATTTTCATGTATAAAACATGATTTATATTAGAATAAATAATAAAGTGGATTGGTAAATTATTGATAATGTCTAATTTTTCGAAATTTAATTTTTTCAATTTAAAATGATGTATACGTAAAAACTGTGGAACTTGCGCATTATTTGTTCGTATTGAACTATCCGACCACAAATTCTAGAATGGAAATTAATTTCTTAAAGTATGAATTTTTGTTAGGAATTTACGTGTAAAGAAATTCTTATCTTCTTAATGGTCACCATTTTGTTTTTATTTTGGCTTAATCCAGGCCAATATGTTAATCCAAGTTCTAGTAATGGACCTTCTGAATTATTAATTGATTGATCGAATTACTAACTAAAAACGATTCAATAATGTGTGCGCAGCTAGATATTTTCGCATATTTGTAGACTAAACTTTTAATTTATTAAACTCCATTAGTAGAGAATTTTACAATAACTTGCGTTATGATAGTACTGTAGTGCTGTAAAACTCAGAAAATAAGCATCACACCGCTAATCAAAAGGTAGGGCAGAGGGTGTGGTCGATCACACGCTTTGTTCTGTAGTTAGTTGTAGTTAGTGTTTGGTTTTTTATACTGTCTCCATGAGCGTGTATTATACTATTGATATTTAATAATTCTTTTCAATTAATTTATGTTATTCATTATTAAGCTTAAAGAAGTTACATTTTTTATTAAATTTAATCAGATACGCATTTGACAATGACTGTCAGAATCAATGCATTAAAAATTATTATAAGTTAAAATTTAAAAGAACGTAGCATTTTTTTTTTACTTCGAACTCGTTCTCTATTAGCCAATCAGATTTTTGTAAAGTCACAAAAATTAACCAATTAGAATGAAAAGCTCGCTATGCTGCTTATTTCTGTACCCATATTTTACTAAATTTTGAATGAGATTATCTAAGAAATTGGACTAACGAATCGGAAAAGTTAGATCCATCTCGATTTTAATTCTAATATATAAAAACATCATTTGATTCTACTAACGATGAAATAACATAATTAGACACTTGCACAACTTACAAGTTTCGCTCAATTGTTTTTTTCAAAAGAAATTTTATTTTTTTAAAAAAGAAGATAATAAACTTGTATATAATTAATTAGACTCAATAATACAGATAACGATAATAAAATCACGCATAATTTCAGTTATATTTTATTTCATTTACTCGGCAAACGAAAAAAATTTTTGTGCGTACTGCGCGCTGTGCTATATTGCACAATTCTAAGTTAAACTGAACTTTGAAATGATGTATGTGTTAAGTAGAGAGCACTTTTTCTACAATCGTGAAACATAAAAGCTAGATTTTAAATGGCAATGAAAGCAAATTTTTCTATGGTAACACAAATATAATATCAAACGCAAACGATTATCTTCATTTTTATTTTTAATTATAAATTCTAATAACGATAATGCTAATTTCGTTGACCCATACTATATTCCAAACTTGCAAGTCGTTGATGTAACATCATGACCATATCTTGGAGCTATTTAATCGATACATACAAAATGAGTAAAATATAAAAATATTATATAATTGTTATTATTTAACGGCTCACAAAAAGAATAATTACCTTATTTATGGACATTTGTTGTGTCCTTGCACTTGGTAAAGTATGAATATCTAGTGGTGCAACTTCTGGGTCTATATAAGATCCACACTCGTATCTAATGAAAACGTATGATCAGAGTAATCAGAATAATGATCAGAGCAATTTGAAATATAACAGTTCCAATAAAACTTACATTTTGACGTTACTAAGATTGATGGAATACATGTCGCTTATGATCAAAAATTGAATTTATTATTATTATTATTATTATTATTATTATGTTTCAACATCTTTATATACCGTATATAATCCAGTTTTCTTGGGGTGGTACGCCAGACTTTGCCGATTACCGCATTGCATTCATTGCAATACATCAAGACGAACGTGCTATTTAATTAAGCATAAAAGTTTGCAAACCAAAATAATCATATAAAAATCATCTAAAAAAAAATATATTTCTTAAATGCATCCACCTTCCGATATCTGCACCCTCTTTCGACCATGCAAGTTCTGTGCCAACTCGAATATTATGTGGCTTAGCTAGTTTAAGGATAAAAATGAGTAATAATAGCAAAACTCGCGTTAATACCGTTAATACACGTACTTTTATTAAATAAATAATAAAAAACTTTTCTAACCATATAGCGCAACTGAGTTTAAATCACGCTCTGCCGCTACGAACGCGAAAGAATCACCCACTATTACTTTGCATTTTATGCATTGAAAAACCAGCGGGCCTGTGAATTCGTATTTTACACGTTCGTGTTCGTTTGGTGACTTTGTCGCTTTAGGTTTGTTTATTTCCTGTTAAATTAACCAGAAGTTTATTCGTTAGTGAATGAGATTTAAGATCTATATTCTTGATATATTAAAGAAAGACAATACAACCATTTGCTACTTAGAAAAAAGTCCGTCTCGTCTAATTGGTTAATTTTTATAGATCTACTCGTGATAATTAACCAATTAAATCACAGAATAAATAGATAGAAGTAGGCAAATGCAATATTTATTATATAAGGTAGCCATGCTTAATTTGGCGCAGTGCCTAGAAATCTATCGATCAGAATCGCATGATTTTGGTACCATTCGGTTCGTAAACATTTACGATAAATATCATGTGATGCATCGTCTCATCGAATGGTACCAAAATCTTGCGATTCTGATCGATACATCACATGATATTTATCGTAAACGCGTCAAATTAGGCACTACATCAAATTAGAAACAATTTTTTTAAACAATCTTTAATAAGTGATATCTCATGATTTAGTGATTAGAATTGGATGATTTTGGTACCATTCGATTCGTCTCGATGAGACGAATTCTCTGGTCGATATATCATGTGATATACTTAGCAAAAACGTTAGCTGCGTCAAATTAGGTATATCTACCTTATATTCCACGGTCCCTAATGTTCGCCCGTGAACATTTCTGTTGTTATTTTTATAAACTATAATTTATTTAAATTGAGTTCAAAATCTAATAGAATTCTATAATTTATTTATATATATGTCTTATTTTAATATATTACTGTATTAAGCTGAGTGGCATCCACAATTTACGTTAAACAAATAGTGTATTATATAAGAATTGGGACCTTGAAGATAATGCCATATAGTATTATGAGTGTATTGTCTTTAAGATTCCTTTAACAATACTGATTTAACGAAAATTGTGGATGCCGCCTGGTGCCCATACGATTGGTATTATACGATTGGTATTATACTACCGTTTCTATACATTATACCGGTATACGTAACCGCATCTCTAATAATAATACACGTATATACGCGACATAATTCAGCCCGAAGCTATGGAACAATGTTTAAGTGGTTAAGAATTTTCCGCAGATTCCGCAAATAGATTTTAAGCACAGGACCATGGGGGTTTTTTTTGACGCTTTTAGAGTTAACGCTAACTTCTTTGTAACCGCTCACACGAAAATATGTATAAGTATATCGTTATCATTTGATCTTTGTCATTTGAATTATAACATACATACAGTACGTACGCATTATCTCTGGGGCAGGATTTGGTTTCGCGGATCGATGGCATAAAATAACCAATCGATGACAAGCCATAACTAGATTTTGTGTATGATTATCAGCTGCGGCTGTGGCTACGCCATTGTGCCGCACCTTTGGAGGGCCGCCCTGGTCTACTCGATCCAATAATACCGATACATACTGCTAAACCTTCTGGATCTGGTTTTAGTTTTAACAAAACCAATCAACCTTCTGGTTTTGGTTTTGGTTTCGGTAACGGTAATACTTCACAAACTAGTTTCGTGAGTGTCGAAATTATGGATTATTTACGGCAAACGGTGTGGCGAAATGTTTTTAATATTTTCGCCACTGCACTCCAAAATGATGTATTGCCAAATTATTTTCTTCTGTCGAAATTATTATTGACTGTTGAATTGTCAAAAATATTAAAGACTGTCGAAATGATTTATGGCAGTCATTGATTTATGGCAGTCATTTGGATCGTGAAATGCAAAATTCAGAAATAATCCGAAAGAAAATACAAAGACTAGCAAGGGACATTCGATGATTGGCTGATGTACTTATTTATATAACTTTTTGATAACGTAACGTTTCTCTAATAAAAAATACAATCTTTTTTTACCGTTATCTTCGCAAGAGCGTTAATATTCACAGTGCAAAATAATAGAGAAAAGATTGGGAATCTAAAGAACTTTGCTTGGAAAACAAAATATACCTACCGTTTGTTGGATCATATCAAATTATACTGTAATTAGAAATGGTTTTGTCTAAAGCTATTTTATTACGTTAAATTTTTATTTCTAACTGTTTAATTTAGTTTATAAGCTTCTTTATATCGCGATAAATTTTAAAAATTATGAAATTTGATTGGTTAATTATCACGGGAAATCAAATATTTTCGGCATACTAAATTATATAAATATTTTGCGATTTTTTTGACTGTTAAAAATTATTTAAATTTACGCCAAGAGCAAAATAATTTCGACACCATGAGTTTCGGCTTCGGCTCCCTTAATAATTCACAACCTTCCACAACGCAGTCTCAAGATCCCGCTAGTACTAAACCACTATGGTCTATTAGTTCGTCTGGGACCTCAGATCCGAATAAAACGACTACTACGGGGGGCGGATTTTTTGGAAACCCTCCTCCTACAACTACTGCAACTTTCGGATTTGGTCAAACGAGACCTACAAATGCTTCTTTTAATGCCACTTCACAGTCTCAAACATTTGGTTTTCCTCAGTCAGCGACCCAGCAACAAACGAATGCTGTCCCTACCGGGTTTACTTTTGGTCAATCAGCGGCCCAACAACCAACAACAACCGCCTCTAGCGGGTTTACTTTAGGTCAGTCTGCGTCCCAGCAACCAACAACAACTACTCCCACCGGATTTACTTTAGGTCAGTCTGCGTCCCAGCAACCAACAACAACTGCCTCTACCGGGTTTACTTTAGGTTCTAGTAAAACGGAAACTTCGTCCAATTTTGGCTTATTTGGGGCTAACACTACATCAAATTCTAGTTTTAGCGGCTTTGGTTTTGGTGGTTTAGGTGCGATGTCAAAGACAACTCAAGGACAGAGTACATCTTCAGGATTATTTTCAGCGATCGGATTTAACAGTCAAACTACTGCTACTACTACTACTGCTACTGCTGCTACTACTAGTAGTAGTAATGTTCCAAGGACAACATCATCGGACATATCTCCTTTTGGTATGACTATAACTGCTCCGGGTGGATCAAGTCTCTTTCCAAAGATGGGTCCTTCATTGACTTCATCTACCAAGCCGGGATTGTTTTCGTCATCTGTTTCAACCCCTACTGTTCCTACTGTTCCTACTGGTGGATTATTTAATCAAAAATCGGGTGCTTCATTACCTTCATCCACCAAGCCGGGATTGTTTCCGTCATCTATTTCAGCCCCTACTGTTCCTACTGGTGGATTATTTAATCAAAAGTCGGGTGCTTCATTAACTTCATCCACCAAGCCGGGATTGTTTCCGTCATCTGTTTCAACCCCTACTGTTCCTACTGGTGGATTATTTAATAAGAACACAACTGCAACTACAACGTCTTCGTTACTTCCTTCTACAGCCTGTAAGCATAATTTGCTTATAATTTCACTCATTATCACACTTTATTCTAACTTAATTAATTGCATAAATATTTATTAGCAATATCAAAGACTTTACCTACTTTTACAAAACCATCAATACAGCAACCTGTTCCAGTAACGTCTTCTGCACCAGGGAGCTCTGCATCAATAATCACAACACAAGCTTCAACATCATCGTCACTATCATTTTCGGCATCAAGCCTCTCGCAGCTTAAGACAACCAGTGCTACGCAAGTCAAAACAACTGTGCCAATACTTTCGGCAACATTATCAACACCTGCGACTTCTGCCGCACCTATTGTGAAACCAATTTTGTCGTCAACTACAGTAACAACGACTACAACTAGTGCATCTGATCAAATACCATCATGGTTGAAAAATAACAATATTGAAGGTATAATTAAAAAATGGACAACAGACTTGGATAATTGCACTAAAAGGTTTCACAATCAGGTTAGAGAAGTTAATCAATGGGATCAAAAGATTATTGAAAATAATGGCAGGGTTAGTTTTTTTTTTTTTTTTTTAGTAACACTATTATATTACAAATATTAGTCAATATATTCATTTAAACCTGAATGCTTTTTAGGTAACCAGACTTGCAGAACAACTAAATAAAGCCGAGTCACTTCAGGAAGAAATTAATACTTGCTTAAATGGTGTTGAGGCTCGTCAACAAGAGCTTGAAAAAGTTTTGACAGAGTATGAAGAAAAATTTGGTGATCCTAGTTTGGAGGCAATGAACCCATTAGATAAAGAAAGAGAAAAAACGTAAGCCTTTGTTATTTGGAAGTTATTAATAATTATTTAGAAATTTAATTTTAATTGAGTGATTACATTCTATTAATAATACAGTTACGAATTAGCAGAATCTATTAATCAAGAACTTGATAATATGAGTCAGATTTTGTCTGCTATGATCACTGATATGAATCGTAGCACAACATCATCTACTATTACCTCTGCACCAACAGAAGATGAAGATGAAGAGGTAATAAATGAAGTGGGTGATGATCCGGTAAGTTTTATGAAACCATGTTACTACTGCCAGTGTTTAATAAAATATTGCTATATATTAAAGTCTAGTAATTTTGAGTTGGTACGTAATATATGTGATTATTTTCTAATCTTATCACCAAATTAATTTTCAGATCGATGAAGTTGTCAAAATCCTCAATTCGCATTTGACATCTCTGCAGTGGATCGACGCGACAGCCAACCAGCTTAGTGCACGTGTTCAAGAAGCTCAATCCTTCCTAGATAAAGTTTAGAACCGGGTTATAGTAAACCGGGTCACCCGTGTCAAAACGGTTCAACCGGGTCAAAAATTTACAACTCGGTTGAATATGTAACCTCTAACAATCTGTTACTAATACACAGAAAACATAACAAAATTTAACACATTATAATTGTATTGTGAATAAACACCCTTTTTCTCTTACTAATTTATCTAAATGTTCAATCCCGTTAATCTGGATTTAAAAAAAAACGTTACAACTTTGGAGGCTATACGGACTCTATTTTTGCGAAAATTTTGTTAAAAATTGTATAAACCTTCATTATTATTTTCTTTGCTAATATGTAATACTCTTTGTTTGACCCGTTCGATAGTACTCCAAAGCCCCTAGCTGTCCCACAAAATTTTTTTCCACCCCTTGTAATAATGACCAATCGAATTTCAGGATCAGGTGTAACGTGAAAATTGAGACGAAGCAAAAAAACAAGAATAGCTCTAAACTTTAATTAGGAAACCGCCTTCTGTGGTCTAATGAAAAATGTTCCTTGTAAAATTTTACTTGTAGACGTTACACTAACCTAGTTCTAACCTAAATATAACGCGGTTTTCTTAACTTTAATTTTGTACGTAACTTTTTACTTAGAAAACAAAACACGTTTGTTACACCTGATCCTGAAATTCGATTGGTCGTTATTACAAGGGGTGGAAAAAATTTTGCGGGACAGCTACCTAAAATATAGAACTCCGGGAATTCGTAGCGCATGAATGGCGTGATCATCGATAACTCATAGAGGGGGGTTGTTAATGGAGTACTCCAGACTAATAGCTGCTCGATACGTAAGTATCGAGGCAGCTTTTGTCTCAAATCATGTGCCATCCGATCGAACATATGACAGACCCGGTTACGATCACATGTTCGATCGATCGGTTGGTTGACTGATAGAACGTAAGATGAAAGTATGGTTAGAGTGATTACTCTTAGTGAAGTAACTGATTAATTATGAGGTAATTGGATCGTAGTATATTTAACAAGTAAGTGGGAAAATAATGGGAATTAACTTAGTCTTTTCTGCGTATATCGATCCTTCTCACCCTACCCGCCGCATAATTTTTGTGGCCTGCCGGGACGGCAGTCATAAATAAGAGTAGGTAGTGGGATCCGTTAGGATTGTATGCTG